TTAGAGTATGCAATTTATCTTATTGTGGCAAAAGTTTAGTCAATAGTATTAATACTGGTAAACTGAGTTTATCGAAGTATATTAAACGTGTCCATATGGGTAGAATAATTTCAATAACATGATTGTGAGCAGAAATTAATATACACTTGGCTATCTTATAGATGATGAAAGTCACTATAGTAAGGTGTTTGCTATTGACAAACTTGATGTTCTTTGATGTGCCAATAAGTGAAATGAAATTACACGATCAAATATATCAATACATTGGAAGCTAATGAAACCGAAGTGGTGAGCATGTATTTGCATTCGGAATCCATCATCCTATAAGATGAGTTAATGAGTCCGCTTAAGTGTTTCTTTAGAGAGCAGTTTAAATTTGGACTTAGCATTCGACTCGAGTTACCTGAATCATAATTCTATGACTGCATCACAAAGAAACTGTTTAAGAAAAATGAGTTTGAGTGAGAAAATAATTAGGACAATGAAATGGTCATTTTGGTCCATATCTAATTATTTGAGGTCCAACGTGATAAAGACATAAAAATAACATGTTAAGGGGTGAGCAAAAACTAATAATTGTTCCGTATGGTCTTGGATCAACTTGATTATGGTTCAATTAACGCAGCTTAAATTATACAGGTCTGATTAGGACCCTTTTGGTATCCTTTTTAAAAGTCTTTGATTAAATTTTACTAGTAATGAAAGTTCAAAGACTTTACATAGATATATAGAGAAAAATTATTCTTGTTTCCTCTTGTGTGATTTTGCGCCAATTAATATTGTCCTGTAATTATTTTTGAATTTTCTTGGTGCCCATTCACTTGTGCCGTCATAACTTGAAGGAATACCAAAGAAGATTTAGGGTTTGAAGTTGGGAGATTAAGGAAATCTTGTAGATCAATAAAGTAGATTGAGCGTTTGTCTGGACAGGCTAATTAGGAGAAAACGAACCGTTATCAATTAAAAACGAGGGCAATGGCTGCCAATTTTTTAGAACATGTGTCAGGCTATTTGACGATTTTGCCCCTACATATGTCAGTAGCTCAAAATCTTTGGGTAACGTGTGGCTGTAAATGAGGAGGGCAATTGTGCAATTTGGAGAAAAAAATCCCTATTTTTATGTCTAACAAGTGCTCAGAAATGCTATAGAAATTATGTATTCCAACGGTCCATTTTCCACTAATTAGCCGATCCAGATAGGCGCTGAATTCTCTTATTAGATTCATAATTTATTAGAAATTTTGAATTAATCATGCTTCAAGGGCAAAATTCCTTGGTTCTTTTTATGTGATGAATTCGAATTAGTTGAAACGCAAATCTAATTAATTAATAGATATTGGGATCAATTTTCTTGAGTAAAACAATTATTTTTTATTTTTCTTTTAGCACATGTTCTTGAGCTTATTTTTCAAGTCGGCAAAGACCCCACCAAGACTTCTTTGCCATACCACACTGTTTGGTGAAATTGACTTGATGTCAAACAGTACACAGTTTTGTAGGAAAAGAATATGTACACAATGCAAAGATGTCTGGCAATATCTAGGATCATTAATGGAAAAATGGGTGTTTAGGTCTACTGAACAAATCTACTGTTAAATGAAAAGGTCCGCAGCTGTTTCCACAACATCGCATTTATTTTAAAGAGTAACTATATATATAAAAGCATCTTGAAAAATATTTAAAAATAAAATAAAGTCTAAAAATAAAGTTCAGAGATTGATGAATACATTTTCACAAAGCATATAATATAACAACTGAAAGCTTATTGAATCAGAAGTCCACCACATTTTATGGATCTCAATTCGAAGTTCTCTATAGTCCATAGGAAGTTATGAGGATTTCTGTAGGGCTGATGGGTAGTTTTTTTTTATCATCTTGGGGCGAAAATTTATGTACAAATCTTGTTGAGGAAAAATTTAAACTACGGAGAAGGGATACACACTACCTAATTTTGTGGAGAAGAATTGTTTCTTGGCCAAGGCAAACTTGTGACGCAAAACATTAGTTGTCTATTTTCAGGTTAGGCGGTAAGAGTCGGAGAAGGGTAATCTTTCAACATAATGGAGGCAGTCAATCAATATAGATTGATTCGAAATCTGAGTCAAATCTAATATAGTACCTATTTGAGTTTTATTCGACTTCGACGATTTGAAAGGGTATTTTCGACATGCTTTAGGCGTGAAATAAGTCTTAAAAACTCATGCTATAAATTCAACATGTTTACATGTTACAGGGAGCTTTTTGGGAAGTAAAAGATAGATACACACAAGAACACATTTAGGGTTTGAATAAAATCGCAGAAGAAGAGAAGCCAAGGGCGATGAATTCAAGTTCACGCTAGAAGACTACAGTTTTCATTTCTTCTTTTTTCTAATATCTCGGTCATGTCATTCTACACTTTTATATATATGTTGGAATTCAAAAATCCGTAACTATTTTTCTAATACTGTGTTATCACCCGTCACAATGTAAATAAAGATATCGAAGATAATGTACATGTATCATGATTAAACTTTTACTTGTACTCTGATTTCAAAATATTTAATTACATATTCTATACGTGTTTTAAATAACCTTTCCAAAACACATACATTGTATTTTTATTTTTATTTTTTATTTTTGTTTTTACCTTTACATTAAACAGCATGATTAAAGTTAATATGAAACAATAACAATGCTTATGGAAATGATGTTGCATTAATACAGAATATATAAGAATAAATATATAAAATATTTAAAATTATAGTTATTAAGGAAACTATTGGGGTGTGATATGTTCCTTGACTCTTCCCCATTCCTAATTCTCAGGCAAGATATTTTAGCACATGTATCTCTATTAAAAGAATATCACAATTATATTTATCTCACATTTTATAAAATCTATCTTTGCAGAGTCTATGTCTGTTACAAGAGAAATGAAGCATTTAAAATGCATCATCCTTCTCAATCAAGTGAAAATGGCTAGAGAGAAGAAAAATGGAAAGACGCTTTATATTCTTGAAATTAGAAAAAACCAACAGAAACTTGATGTATATTATCAAATTACGCATAAAATGAAAGAAACATAAAGCATCTTAAAACATTGATGATGTCTGATACAATCTCAATATATTATATGATCAGTTTAATTTTAAAACCCCTTAACAATAGACGAAACTGCTATAAGCATTTGTCACTTCTGCAGCATTGAATCCCCAAATATCAGTTTGGATTTCATAATCCCATAAATCATAATTTGATTCTACTTCACTGCATGCGTATCCACGAATCAAATCATTTATCCTTCTTTTCATTGTTGTAGCTCCAAATCCCATACTTGATTTCAAAATCTGAAATATATGTCAAAAATGAAATTAGAGACAATGCTAGTCGAACATCATATTTAAATAAAAAGAAGTGTAATTTCTCTAAGAACATAAATTGTTTAGAAGACATGGTTTAATGTCGTATGGGAGTGGACAAGATCCTGAATTCAAGTTTTGTTGTCATTAATTTAAGAAAATTGTGAACTTGTGAGGATTTTTACAAAATGAAATCTGATTTGCATGGAAAAGTGTGTGCTATGTACTACTTCTCCAAGAGCTTAAAACTTTTGGAGGAAGTAATTTAACACTATTAGAGAGAGAAGTAGAGACAGAAGGGATGAAATTGAAGTTCTAAAATGGGTAAAATTAACTTATAATGACCTTGTCATGGACGATTTGGAAGGAGGAATTTCCATGCACAGAAAAAGTTGCATTGACAACTTCAATACTATCTTCATGAAGCAAGTGAAGTATGTTATAAAACATTGAAAAATGATCGAGCCCAGTAACTAAAATGACATCCATATTTGGTCCCATGTCTTGAACTTCTACTAAAGGTGGTGGAGACTGTGTGTTGGCTTGAATTTCATTTGTAATGATGCAAGAATTTGATATTTTCCTTGGTAACAAGGATACCCTCGTCTCCTTCATCTTCTCCAGCTTCATCTTTAAACTTTCGATATACGTCACTACTTCGTCTATTTGATCAGGTAATGGCATTGCTTGCTGCATTTAAACGTACATAAAAAATCAATATCTTTACATATATAATACTAAATCGCCGTTTAGTGAAACTTAAAATTAAAATTTTAATTTAAGTCAAAATCAATAATCAATTTTAATCATACACTTCATAAAATTCACAACTTTTTAGATACACATTTCATTAACTATTATCAAAATCTACTAAAGATCCAATTTTAACCTACCAAACATGACCTAAACATGATATTGATAGTTGAACACTTGAACAGTTACGAGATTCGTTGTAAAACAAAGCAGGAAGCACAATCCTAGCATCCCAGATTTGTTTATTTCTGTATAGGGTAGTGCGCGTGTGTGTGTGTGTGTGTGTGTGAGAGAGAGAGAGAGAGAGAGAGAGAGAGAGACCTTGAGGCCATGATTTGGAAGGAGACCGAAGAGGTTAGAGTAGAGAATCTTCATCCGATTTCTTCTGTTCTTCTCAGAAATTTTTCTTTCAATTCTTGGAGCTCGAGTTGAAGAAGAACATAATCTGAACTTAACCTTTTCCATTTCCATCATTTACACACTGAAATCAATCACACCACTAGCATGGATTATTTACGTATAAAATCTTTGATGACATTCTTGATCTGTTTTGGTATTTATATACGTACGAGAATACGAAATTTTATTATTATTTTTTTTTTGGCGGGTAATCATAAATCAATATTTCAGGTGTATTAGCCGATTAGTTGGAATAACCATTTATATGATTGTTTGTTCACACAGAGAGTTATGACTTCTATGTTTACACGCAAGTACGAATATAGATCATGAGCACATAGCAGTTAGAACTAAGTCCTAAAAGTTTAAATAATGAATAAAGATTTATTTTTTGATAACAATATCCCTAAGTTGTATGTCCTTCATGTGAGCTCGCCTAACAACTTGATATGACTCCAAAGTAATACTCAATGACGACATGATTATTTATTACCATGACATAACCTCATATTGAACAAACCTTGTTGTCAAAATTTTAATATAAAAAAAAAATATTTCAATGTGATTCTTATTATACAACTGTTAAAGATTGTACATGTTGGAGTCATATCTAATAATTAGGAAGATGGGCGAAGCTAGAACTCGAATTCAGTGACGGTGAAAGTTAATTATGGATTAAAATAGAAAACGAAGACGGCAGTATAATATTGTTAAAAGTTTATGTCCTCCCAAATCTTGTCCCTGTTCGGCAGGAATTAAAACTTAGATTTTGATCTTAATCAAAGTCAATAATTAGTTCTAAATACATACTTCATGGGATACTTAATTTTTCAACCACACATTTCATCAACTTTTATCAAAATTTACTAAAATAATTTAGGGAATTTGATAAGTGCTGAGGTATTTTTGAAAGAATATTGAGCCGTCAAATTTCACAAAATGTTTATAGCAGGAAAAGCAGTGTCTCTTCAATAGCTTTAGCAAGGAAGAATTAAGTCCATATTTGACTCCTATAAAATAAAATAATTTATCGTTCATGCTCATTTTCAATCACATATTTGTATAAGAAAATATTTTGCGCATAAATTCAAAAATTTTCCTCACTTTTTTATCACATATTTTCAAAAAATTATTATTTAAAACATCATTTTTATAAATGAACATTAAAACAGGGACTCATTGTAATGACAGAAACAAGTGTATTTGTTGTACATTTAAAAAAAAAAAAAAAAAAATTTTTTATCAGTCTCCATCGAGAAGATTTCACAAAATGTATAAGAAAAGTAATGGATCATCTTCTCTTTTTCCTTCATAGAACACTAATATATCATAGAGAGAATACCAATCGTATTTCATAAAATTAAAAAAAGTAATATAAGTGTAAAATTAATTTTAAAATCTCCATTTAACTTTTCTTAATTCCAAAAAAAATAATAAAAATAATAAATAAATTGTTGAATAATAAATCTAAGTAAATCACGCAAGTAAATCTTTGTTCAATGTCAAAAACACGTCTCATCTTAAGTATTTAGGTACCTATCCAAGTTTGGAAAGAAACAATTAGTTTTATAAAGTTGAACATGAGTGCGAAAGATTTAAACAATTTCTATTTTTTTTATTAAGTACAGCTTTTTAAAATTATGGTATTTTAACGGGAATAAAGTCATTTGTACAATATTTGTAGATCAATATGCTGCTTTTGGAAGGTTGAGAACTAACTAATTACAACTGATCAAGTAAGAAATTTAGAACAAATAAAAAATTTTCTGAATTACACATTCAACAACTCATTTATGAGTTGCGGGATTTAATTGGGGTTAGGTCTGAGGATAAGATTATTACACATTTACACTACTAGAAAACGTACCAACTGTAAAAGATTATATCAGCAACCAAATATATGAAGATAAGATTATTACACGTTCCAATTTAATCAATTATAAATGATGGGATGTTAAATTTAAATGGATATTTCATTTAGTATCATCAATAGTAAGGAATTATCAGAGGCCAAAGCCGTTACTAAAAAAAAAAAAAAATCAGAAATAAAAAAAAAAATTTCATGTAAAATAATCGTAGGGGAATTCAAACCACACAAAAGTTTGAATTTGATAGCCTAAAATTTATTGTCCAAGAAATTATTGTCCATTGCTTTAAAAAAGCCAGTAAATATGTCACTCATTTTCTACGCTGGATAGTGGTTCTCCAATATTGAATCCATTTCTAGATATCAACTATTGTACCACCAACAGGTTTCTATTAAGGAAAAAAATCTCTCATTATTCCCAACTTCCTGGCATTTTATTTTTAGAATGCCAACTACGATCTCTAATAAGTGCATTAATATCCTTATTCAAGCTTTAAAAGATTGACATTTCGTTGTTCTTTTGATAAATTATAGCCTAATCTTGTATATATTTCGTTTATTAAGAAAAACTTAATAATTGGATGTGAATTTAAAATAAAGGAGTGAAAAAAATGCGAAGTCCAAAGTTCGAGGACCAAATTGTAAATATTCAATAATTAACTTAAACCACAAAATGATAATTGAGGGTTGTAAAGAAAAGTCAAAAAGGAATGAAATATGATTAAAATATTTTTATAAAAATCAATTTTCATTTGCGCAAGTTATACTCCAGATATTTAGCCGTAAATTAAGATTCATTTTTGTCATAGTAAATGTTCAAATTGGAAGAGTAGATCATAAAGTTATAGCCATTTGAGTCATCTTTTCAAAACACTTTGAATTGCTTCAATCGGTTATCGGAAGATAGAGTTATGACAAAAGTACTGACATTTGTATAAAGATAAAAATATGCTCCTGCGAAGATAATTTTTCTAATTGGATTGAAGCTCTTTTGGAAACCAATTTGGATGTGATTTTCTACAAAATTTTGACTCCTATAAATAATGAACAACAGAATATATTAGGGAAATCTCTCATACACCTTTTATAAACCATTATTCATCAATTAAAGAGAAGAAAATTCATTGATTTGTAACGAAATTAAATGCAATTTCAAGATTTTATCAAATTGAAGATTCAACCCTTGATTTTTGGGTAAATAAGAGAATGCACAATTAGATAATCAGTCAAAAATGGTGGCTGAAATGTGCTTCTAACGGTCCATTTTTTTCATTTTTAGGAGCTAAAAACGCTCTCCAAACAGAGTTATAGATAGAAATTGATAATAAATAAGGAGATAATATTTGTGGATATCTCGAAATATATGAATAAAATTTGACTTCAATGTTTATAAATAATTTATAATTTAATATGAACCAAACATAGGCTTATTCGTTTATCTTATCACAAATCTATCTTCGATGAGGTCAATAGAGGCTCCCACACGTTGGTAGGATCCATTAATGTGTTAAGGAATAAATTTCACAACGAATAAAGAGAGATATATTAACTTTTAAAGAGTTTATATCACTTCTCTAAACAAGTTTGACTTTATAAAATGGAATCTCGTATCCGAATATGGTATTAAAGTCCATTAAATTCATATAAGTAACTTGATCCGATTAGGACTCAAATATACAAATGAATTTCAATATTAATATTCTCAAATAAGTCATCATCTTGTGGAGCATGGTAAACAATAAGTCTCATATCGAATAAAGATGGTATATTAAACAATATCTAATTTTTTGAGTTATATTTCTTAACAAAGTTGAGATTTCCAAATGAACCACAAGTGTTAATATAACAAAGTTTTTAAGTGCATTTTGAGTCCATAAATGTGTTGAATTGAGCATTCTATTATGTAAATATTTTTCGAAGAAGCTTTCCTTGTGACAATTTCTAAATACCACTCTTTGTATCTTTTTCATCTTTATACTGAAAGTACGTAATTTGCAGTTGTACATAACTTTCACATCAGAAGTAGATATTTTGAATTAGAGGCACAATCAACATGCAAAATAGTCGTGAGAAATTTTACATCCGGAAAAAGTCATACCCCTATAAATTTAATTCGAAAATTTACATGGAATATGACTTTCCGGATGCAAAATTTCGAAAATATTTGACATCATACCCTATATAAATTTTTTTCTAATAAAATGATGTAAATTATATTAAGAAATTTACTCCGCAAAAATAATAAACATTAATGATATAATTGAAATTTTTTTAAAGAAAAGATGAGTTAGACGCTTTTTTAAGATACATGTTTGATGCAATTTTAATAATTTTCGATATTCATTTAGACCATTTGACATGTCTATGACGTAGTTCTCAAAACGAGCTTCGAAATGACATAGATGATTTGTGGATTTAACCAGCGTACGATTATCGTAGAATTTTTAAAGTTAGCATGCATTTGAAAAACTAGTTTGGAATAGCCTATTTTAATAAGTCGTAATATTCGTTACGATTAGCCGTTTCGCACACCATTAATAACGTGGAAAATTAAGTCGTGAGCATTTCAAAATGGTATTAAAAATATAATACTTCAACTTCATTTAATATCTAGTAATGATATCGAAAATTGAGATAAAAACATAGAAAATTTAATTGTGTTAATAAAAAATGTCCAAAAGTTGTGAGGTCACATGACCTCATATGAGCACTTGTGTCTGACAGTGTCTCACGCTAAGAGTTGTTCTTAACTTATGTAAAATGTCGGTGGTATGACACATCAAGCCATTAATTAATAAATTTAATTCAAATCTTGAAATCCATCATAAATTTATTCATGAATGAATTGATGTGACATATTACAATAATTAGAATAAATCAAGCACGGTGTTTAGTCTATAATTTCTTGGCAGTTAATGATTAACGAGAAACATCAATAGTATATTTTATTTGTCTTAACTTGTTGAATGAATAGATATAACAGAACACTGGACCTTTTTTTCCCTTATTTTCGCAAACAAACCATGAGGCATCCATGGATATGGCCTACTATATCTCTGTAGTTTTGTATAAGTAGCCACTTCAATGTTTTAATTAGTTATTATTTTCAATCTGATTAGTTAATCAGAACTCCTATTTTAATAATCAACTTTTAGTGTGGAACAAGAAATCCATATTTTATAAAAATCATTTTTTCTCAAATTTATTTTCAACACTCCACATTCTTCCAATAAAATAATTTTATAATCGAACTTATAACTTTTCCCTATTTTTTAGTTACATTTTAAAAAAAAATTACTTTTCAAAAAATCTATTATCAAAAAATCTGAATTGAAGATGCTTTAAATAATGAATTGATGTTAAACGTGTATAGT